TAAACAACCACCTATGTAGAAAGGTATGTTGGGACAGTCAAGTTGAAGAAGCACGAAGACTTCTCCTTAGAACATAAAAATATGAATGTAGTTAACTAGAGTGGTCCTTAAGTATTATGGAGGCCTTATTATATGATTTGGGTGATAGTCATGCTTGCAACTCATTTAAAATTCAGCCCGAAGTCAAGCAGAAAGTATAGAAAAGTTTTTGAAAAGTGCTTAATCTTTTAATCTTAAATTTTTATTAACTCAATCTTTTATTATTATGATTTTTAAAATAGAAAGAATTAAATTTTAGGGTTCTTAATGAGCCTAAGTTATATGTTTCGTGAGATCTCAGACAAGTCATAGAAATAAATAAGGAAAACGACAACATATCTCAGAAAAGATCAGTGTCACTGTTGCAGTTACCTTTTTTTTTACATTGAATTTGGACGAATTGTGAAGAGGTGCTTGAAGTGACTCTTGGTAATTTTGAGAGCTTTGTTTAATATAATCAATGACCAACCAAAAAAAGAAGGCGGGGAGTCGTTGGTGGAGGCTTTGGAAAGAGTTATTGGTTTTGAGTGTAGTCTTTGCATGATTCTTGGGGGTGTGTGAGTTAGAGCCTTGTTTTGGTGTGTATTGGAGGAAGAACGCGTTAAAGGAACTTCATAAAGATTTGCTTGGGGAGAAGTCTAAGATAAGTACTTTGTATTTTTATTCGCGTTTTGTGTAAGCATAGTTTTTAATATATATCATGTTTTGTTTTATTATCCCCATTAATTTTGAGTAATTTTCTTATCATTCTCCTTGCAATAATAAGTAATCATGTGTGGGATTAGAAAGTTTTTAAGATTTCTTTTATTCCAAATTTTGTGATAGTATTTTCATGGGTTCTTAATTTACTTTGTAAACTGACCATTTATAATGTTAAAATCCGATGTGAAATATAATGACTCGGGAGAGCTATGATTTCACCCAACTAGTGAGTGCCACACTAGACCCTGGATGGAGGGGAGCCAAGTCCTATGGAGAGTGGAAATAGATAGGGAGTAGAATTCATGATTCTAGAGTGATAGGCTAAAACCTTCATCAATTTGTTCTTTAGTTCGGAACCTAAGGCCTAGTTAATCTTAATAGGGAGGGCACAGTAGGTAATCTGAATGTGAGAGGCTAGAATTTACTCAACATAACCATATCAATTAGGAACTTAACTTTAGATTAGCCAAAGTTTTTTATGCACTCGAGAGAGGGTAAAAAATATGTATGCTCCTATTTGTCACAAAACCTCATTGTTTTACTTTAAACATTTGATTCCTACACTGATTACAGTTTCTTTGTAAGGAAAAAGACTTTTTATAATATTTGAACTCCTTTACACATTTCTAGTTTAAAAAATTTGCATTTACTTTTAGCTTTAAACTAAAATTAGCAAACTTTAGTTTTTAACCTTTTACAAACGATTTGATATTATTCTCCTACATATTTTGTTTACAATTTACATAGAAATTCTTCTAAGTTGAAATATAAATGACATTCTTCTCTGTGGGTTCAATATTGGGGTATTTAAGGAAAACTTTATATTACTTGAAACGATATGTATGCTTGCGTAGTACCCAAAGTGTGTAAACCATTAATCAAAATTCTAAATTTTGTAACATACTTAGTTTGTACACCTGCCCCTAAATATAAACTGGGTCAAGTTTTTTGCCATTTTTTGAAACTTATTAACTATGTCATTGGGGGTCGTGTCAAGTTTTTGGTGTCGTTACCGGGGAAGTACCAAAATTTTTAAATTAAAAATTTTATTTGAACTATTGATTTATTTTTGGAGAATTCTATTTTAATTTCTCTTTGTAAGTAATTATTTATTTCTTAAAATATAAATATATATATTTCTCAAAAAAATAAAAACTGACAAATTTCCAAAATTCAAATTTTTATGTGTTGTATTTTTTTTTAGAATTTTTACTTGTTGCATGTGTAGTTCAGGATTTGATGATTTAGTGTCATACGATTCTAAATTAAAACAAACTATAAGAAAAATTTAAAAATAAGAAAAAATTCACAATTCTCAAGAAATGACGAACACATCACAAAATAACATCAATAATCAAACAATTGAAAATAAATATCATCATTTACAAAGACATTTAAAGGACTATGCAAACCCTACAACAGATGGAATTCATTTAACTATACAAACCCCTGCAGTAGCGGCTAACTCATTCAAACTTAAACATATTATTATCCAAATGGTACAAAACAATAAGTTTGGAGGAACACTATCTACGGATCCAAACTTATACCTTGCAAGTTTTCTAGAACTATGTGCCACATTTAAATATGATTGTGTATCAAACAATGACGTTAGACTTGGACTTTTTTTTCCTTAAGGGTTTAAGCTAAGACGTGGTTAAATTCATTAGCACCTTAATTTATTAGAACTTGCGGGGAGTTAGAACATAAATTCTTGGCTAAGTATTTTCCACCTTCAAAACTGTTAAGCTTAGAAATGATATTACATTTTTTACACAGAGTCAATATACGAAGCTTGGGTTAATTATTTTAAAGACCTCCTTATTAATTACTTTACGCAGAGTGACTGCATGATGACAAACCAAAGTGTTATATTTAAAGACCTCCTTAGAAAGTGTCAGCATCGCGCATTGCCAGACTGGTTAATTATTCAAAAATTTTATAATAGGTTAGTAGGATCCCTTAGATCTATTATTGATGTTATTGCTGAAGGATCATTAATGTCAAAAAAGAAATTAAAGAAGCTTATGAATTAATAGAAGAGTTGACTACTAACAATTTTAATGACTCTCTGAAAGGGTAAATCATAAGAAAGTAGCCAGTGTTCATGATAATGATGCAATTTCAATTATGACATCTCAAGTTGTTGCGATATATAGGAAGTTAAATCAATTTGGAATAAACTTTTCTCAAACACATCATGTGATTGAAGAAAATTCATGAATACAATTGATTGATTCTTAACCATCATTTAAAACTTTAAACTTCATTAACAATAGACCCAATAACCCATATTCAAACTATTATAACCCAGGCTGGAAAAACAACCCTAAGTTTTCTTTGAATAATACTTTTGGTGGTGGAAATCAGCAATGGGGCAACAATCAAGTGAACCCATTATGAAATTGGAACAACTAGGGTAGAGCGGATCTTTTATTATATGAAACTGGAAAATCACCCTAACTTTAACTGAAATAATCAAGAGAACCTAGACTGTAATAATCATGGAACAATGTTAGAAAATGTCTTAAAGAGATCCAATAGTTTAGAAGAGAAAAGTACAACAGAGGTTGTCCCACTGGTAGGAGATCATGAGGCCCAACCGAACAAATGAGCAATGCCATATCGTTAAGTGAACAAGGCCAAAACTAACCAAGCTATGAGGCAGACAAGAAGACGACCACATGATCCAAGAATGAGCCATCCTAATGAAAATGAGACAAAAAACCGTCCAAGCTAATCACTATAGAAAAGCCGACCTGACGCGATAACTTGTACCGTAGTAGAGCCGATCCAAAGAAAGATCCAATTTCACAAGTATCTCCGAACATCCCAAAAAGACTCCAGACACTCCTTACTAGGGATCAAAGGTAGTCATTCAGGTTGGATCGACTGACCAAACCATACCAACACAGCTCAGTCGACCGTGCTGACCCCATTGACCCGAAGTCAACTAAGTTTAGCCGGCTGAGTCATAAGACAGCCAAACAATAAGCCAATTCCAGTAATATACCATAATACTCTAGTATGAACTCCTTTCAAATTGGGATAGAAATATAATATCACCATTGTACTAACTCTTTTATAAATAAAAGAATCAATGTTTCTGATTTTCACTCTAGCTTTTGTGTGTGATTCATGGATAATCTCAGATTCAACATCATCATCACAAGATCTATAAATAATTGCTAATCCTTCCTGCTTGCACCTTCCTGGGAGATTATAGAGTTGCATTTGAGGAGTTCTCTTTTTGTTCCATAGATATGTTATTTTTGAATATTTATACAAGTAATGTTGTTTTATGCCTTTGAAATTAAGAATTGAAATCACTCTCTTTATAATGACAAGAAGGTAAAGAAAACTTTAGGGATTTTATTTAATTTTATATGTAATGTCTCTATTGCTTAACACATTGGACGAAATAAAGATTTATAAATGAGAAGACTAGAGAACAAGGAAGGAATGGAGCGACAAAATAGCCAAGACAGATCATGAGCTGTAGAGGATTAGAGATAAACTGAGGAATAGAGATGAATAAATGGTATGTTTGGGACAACTTTTTGTCTGCTTTGTTTTTCAAACCGCCATCATAGTTATGTCTGGAGAACTGACATCTTACTGCTTTTTTAAAATTTTTGTGATGGAAAGCTCTTCTCTCAACCCGAGTTGTTAAAAAGTGGCGATTGTCAGAAAGCTACGACTTAATTTTTTGAAAATAAATAAATCTGTAATAGCTACTGTAGCTTTTTGAAATAATAGTTTCTTAAAAAACAGCTTCACAACTGTTTCTTCAAATAGCTGCAGCTGCCCTAAAGAGACCTGAAGTGATATAAGGGATACTATGAAGCTGTTTTGGGTGATAGTTCATTAAATAACAAAATTTAGATTATAAATAGTGGGGTACTCCGATATTTATCTGAATCCCCAAAATATTAACACATCATTTCATCCTAAATACAACCGAACGGTCTCCAACCTGAGAAAGCTTGCCACACAACACAAAATGGGCATTATTCCCAGGACATGCGCCAATCCAAACAGTTCCGACCGCATCCCTCTACGGATCCTCATTCCCACTGATCACACGGGCCATATTACACGTGTAGCTCCGTGATGCCGCGGCCCGCACGCATGCCTTGCCGCTCTTGGGACGGACTTAATCCCGGCCCGGCCCACAGTTTTTGACCGGGTACAGCCTTCACGTCATCTCCGGCTTATAACAAACAAATTTCGTTTGCCCATTGGATGAAAACCCATTATGAAACCCGAAATTTATGGATGATTCCCTGCCATTTGAGGTGGGTGCCGTGATGTAGAATTTCGGAGGTTTCTGACGTTATTTTTCTGGTTCTCGTGTTTCTCTCTGTTCCAACGCTCACCGAAACTGAATGATCGGTGGTATTGTTTTTCGTTTCTATCGCTCTCGAAATTAAGGTTTGATTCTCAAAGCGTCCAGGTGGAAATCCTTCTGCGGCTCATGGTTCTCGCTTTTTATTCTGTAGCAGATGAGGTAGGAACTTCAATTTGTTTTCGATCACGGAGGGGGATGAAGATTCATTGTTAAATTGACTAGTACTGCGGGGTTTCTTATTTTTTGATTTAATTTGAGTTGAATAAAGAGTTGGGGAAGAGAAAGGGGTTGATCTCTGGGGTTTAAAATGGGCTATTTGAACTCGACGCTTGCCAATTCCAGTGTAGGTAACAGCGCTGATTCGCCCGTCAGCGGTGGAGGGCTCAGTCATAATGGAAAGTTTAGTTATGGGTATGCGAGCTCTACTGGAAAGAGGTCTTCGATGGAGGATTTCTATGAGACCAGAATTGATGGGGTTGACGGTGAGACTGTTGGTCTTTTTGGAGTTTTTGATGGTGAGTTTTTGCCTTCCTTTTTCCCTAATAGCCGTCTGTTGTGTGATATTTTTTTTCGTTTTATTCCTGAGCAACACTCGTTTTATTTGAAACTTTACTATTCTCTGGCTTATCATCAACGAATAGAAATTATTTGTTTCTATATTTGTTTCCCATAATCATGTGCAATTATTGTTACGGTTTGCCAATTTTGGGTAAATTTTAAGTAATTTCTGATATGTCTTTTATTTGTGCAATTTAATGATTATGTTCTTACTGATAGGTCATGGTGGCGTCCGAGCAGCTGAGTATGTGAAACAACACCTCTTCAGTAATTTGATCAACCATCCAAAATTTATCAGTGATACTAAGTCAGCCATAGGTTATTTTCTCTATCTTAGATAATTGTCATCATTGGCCTTGCTGTAGGGAAGTTTTCATGCTACTTTCATTTCCAGTCATACTCTAATGGCAATTTCCTCAACCAGTGCTATTCTTATAATCCCATCTTTTCTATTTTGCAGCTCTTAAAAGCTGCACATAGTGTTGATCATAGTTTATAGCCCCTATATTGAAAAAATAGACCGATGCAAAAAGGTCTAACTAAACAAGATTTTGCTAAACTCAACTATATTTTATGTTATTCATGTGCCAAAGTTATTTACAACTGTTTGTATTCGATCTTAAGAAGCCTTTTTTGTTTGCTATGCGTAGATTTTAATCTTAATTTAACTTATTCTTTGGTTATTATTTTCTTGTGCTTCTTTGGTTTACACCTGTTTTCCACCGTCTCACATTAACTTATCCTCTTGTCTTATTGACACATCATTTGTCCTCTGTTTTCTTTCCAGTCACACTGAGTCCAGCTTTGACCTTGTTTTTAACATTTGCTATGCCACTCACTTATATGATCATGTCAAACTACTCTTTCTAAGCTTGACTTCTCATCTTATCTTAACATTCTCATGTATAATGCAGCTAACTTGGTTCTCGTTCACTCATACAGGAGATCTACTGATATTATGATTTTTTAAAATAAATCTAGTATAAGTCTATTATCTCTTATGACATTATACAATAATAGAGAACTATGTTATCCCCATAATTTTGACACTATTTGCTTTATCTTCATTAATATTTCCATTATTTAGTTATATAAATCATAGATATTGCAATCTCAGCCCTAGTCATTACCTTGATCCTCCATTGATATAACTGATTGTTATTCCTTGAAAAATAAAAAGAACATGTTTACAAAATAAAACTGTAAACTACAGCAGATGCCCACAACCATGTTGTTTTTTCTGCTGGAACAGTTGACAATTTTTTTTGCAGGAATAGTTATTAATTTTGATTATTGTACAGATCACCAATCTGATAATTTACTTTTCAATGTTCAGCTGATGCCTACAGCCATACAGACTCTGAGTTCTTGAGATCTGAAAATAATCAAAGCCGAGATGCTGGATCAACAGCTTCGACTGCTATTCTCGTTGGCGATCGTCTCCTTGTAGCTAATGTTGGAGATTCTAGGGCTGTCATATGTCGGGGTGGAAATGGTGAGGTCTCAGTTTAAGGCAGTACTTCAAATTTTGCATTCATTATCTTGCATCTTGGATAAAATTTAGAGTTGTTTAAAAAATAAATTTTGGTGGCAATGCATTCTCTATATTCTTAGAAGCGAATTAGAATAATGTGTATATTTGTTTGTCTCGAAGAAGAATATCTTCTTACATTTTATAATATTTATATACCGCATTCCAAGATGATAGTTGACCTTTCACTAGGAAGCTCTGATAGAGTGATTGATTTTAGGGGCAGTTACATACATAGCACTAAAAAATTTGCTATTTACAAAACTTGCACCCTATTTCATCCTTTTTTTAAATTCACAATTAAATATCAAAATTCACAAGAAAATCCCAACCCACATTTTTTATTTTTTTATCAAATTATCAATCGTTTGATCGTGCTACACATAAATGCACCGGTTCAGTAGCTCAAATAAATGACCCGGGAGCTAGTTCTGTAAATAGCAAAGTTCTGGCAATGAATAATGAATCGTTGAAACTTGGAAAAATGTCATTTTATAAACCTTTTCTTACATAGAATCATTCTACATTATCTATGTAGATATGTATGAAATATAGATCTTCTATGGACCTATTTATGTTCTTTGAATCTATTTTTGTGTTTCTTGCTCGAGCCGGATGATAAAAAATTATCATGTCCGGTTCCTTTGAGGGATGGATCCACAAGAATTCACCTATCCAAATAACAAAGAAACCTGATTTGAATTATCTTGTATTAAGAGTTAAATTGGCTAAAGGGATGGGTTTCTCTGTTTTTCGTGCAAATTCAGAAATATGATGTACTTTAAGTTGTTATTGTTTACTTATTATCAGGAAGTAAAAATTCTGGAATGGGGCACAAGATGCCACAATTGTCCTTTTGAGCTAATATTCTTACAAATCTTAAACTAGTTATGCTTTTTGCTACCGATACAAACATTATTTTTAACCTCCTTTTTTTCAGATCCAGCTTTTATGCAAGATAACAGACCTTTTTGATTTGAGTAATGCGACACTGTACCATGAGTAGGAATGAGCCAATTAAATGCAACTTCGTACATTGTTTAGAGATTATCCCGTAGATACTATTAATGTACTGAGCTCTACGTCAAGTTTATTTGAGCTCATTTAAAATTTCATTCTGGTTTTGTTGTAACTTTTTAACTGTTCAAAATGCAGAATTTACATTCATAGGAACTTTAATTACATTTATTTTTGAGGATTTACTATCTTTCCATTGTTTTCCTTGTCAATTGATGGTAGTTGAATTGGTTTTACAACCATTCCATTGAATTTTGTCGCTTAAAATCTGAATATATTTAAGTTTTGTTCATTAGCTGATTGGTAGTAGATGATATTTCCGTGAATCTCAAATAAAATCTATTTGAGAATTCAACTTATTACACATATATTGCTATCTGCATCAATTTCTCGAAGAAAGTTATTATACTCAAAATTTGATCTTTCATTTTTGGAGGTAATATTATGATAGCTACCATCCTCACTGCTAGATAGGTAATATTCAAGTTCTGTAACTATCAGTGGTCAAGATTCAGAGATATGGATTTATGCTACAATATGTTGATGGTGATGGTATTCGGAGAAATGAATTTATGCCATCAGACTTGATTAGTGGCAACATGGTTTAGTTATCTATTCTTCATAAAAGGATATGAATATAGAGTTTGCTTTCTTATAAGTGGTGTGAGCAAGAGAGCTATTTTAGGTCAACAAAGTGTGCTAACATTTCACTAGCTGGTTGCGTGCATTTACATTTGTACAAATTTGTGCACCCACTACATAATTGTTTGCATTTGGCATGAAAATGAAAGCCTTATTTATCAACATGTTGGCCTGTTTCATGATTCTTTGAATGGAATTATGGATAGGTTTAAAGTCGTTTGCTCTCAGGATGCAAGGGGAGAGGTTTTATTGGTTTTTATAGCAGAGTTCAAAGTTTGAGCCAATGTTGCACCAACAAGGCTCGTTTATTTAGCTTTTTACAAGATTTCAATGCCTTGATTGCCCAGTTTGTTCTGCCATTCTCTGGTAGTTTGTTTGTAGTTGCATCAATCTTAAACCATTGCCAATAGCAACTTCAACTAAAAAAATTTGCCCTTTTTAATTGATACGTATTTTTTGGCTACTTATTGTTAGTATACCGATATTTATATAACCTTTTGATTGAAACATTTCGTAAAAGATGATGTTTATATCTAGGGATTTTATCAATGTTAAGTATATTTCTTATCATCTATATAAGTATTATAAAGCTACAATTCAAGAAGACTTTTCTCTAAAATTCAATGTAACAAAAGAGCTCCATTTAGAAGAAAATTCTGACTATCTATGCCTCATATCCTCTTTATTTTTTCTTTGGTTAACGATGGTAGAAGGTTTCTTTTGAACAAATCACCATCTCTTTTATTTGCCAATTGCATGTTGTAGTTTTGAACTTGATTCAATTAACTTGATTCGAGTTGAATTCGTTTCAAAGCTTGATTCAAACTTTCGTTTGACTGTGGCTCGAACTTGAGTTTACGTGACATTCTTTTGAATGCTTCTTCGTTGTTCTCTCATTATGTTTAGATAATGCATTAATAGGGCTGATGAGGAAGATAACAAAAATATCTACTACGTGTGAGGAGAAGATGAATTTATGGATGGAATCAACATGTGAGGAGAATAAGAATTCAAAAAGACCAACACTTGGTGAGAAAATTAGTTCATAGACATTATTTGCGAAATGTGAATAAGAATATGAGTCCATAAAAGTCCTCACTTGGAAGGCTTTTTCAGGATGAGCGATGTATAAAGGAGAAGTGTTCATAATGGAACTCTGGTGGTGCCTTGGATTTAATTATTTCGATGGGGTTTCCCTTGTTGTAGGAGTTGTTCTTCATGTCCTAAAGACTCTTGGAATATATGCAGTTGGAAATAGGGTTAGTGAGGGTATCATTTATATCAATCAGGAATATATGAAATAGGGTTGTTCATTCTTCCCAATACTGCAAAGAAGGAAATATTATATTTGCACGGATTCTTTCCTTTTAGTTGAATATTTAGATTATGAATTGTCGGCATTTAAAAGGGGGAAGTTGCGTTTGGGGGTCGCCCGTAAGAAGCTGTCGGCCGCCGGAATCGAAATCCCGTCGCCCGCTTCGGAAGGACTTTTTTAATTTACATAATATATATATAATTTTAGAAAAATA